TTTAACCCTCAATGGCAAGTGATGATGGGGGAGATTTTTTTTTAAGGCCCATAAATGGGCTTGAAACCTTTAATTTAGGGATCCAATGGTCCATAACTCACCATGGATTGTCTAAGGGGGTTTATCTTGATCCATGGAATGTGTTCAGTGGTTGTGAAGTCATAAATTTGGTGGCTTTAGAGTGGTTAGGCTATTTTTGGTGTATGGGTCCAATGTGGATCCAAATGACCAAAGGTTGGGTTTGGGTTAGGCTAGCTATGACTTTAAACCCAATTAATTGATCAAAATTGTGTAGATTATTGTAATGAAGGTTTTTGGTGAAGTATTGAAAAAATTTTGAGTTCAATTCAATTTGAAGGATTTTGGAATTTTGGTCAATTTGGGTATGTTGGGCTAGACTTGGGTCTAGATTGGCCTAGACTTAGGTCTAGATTGGGCTAGGTTTGGGCTAAGTCCAAATTTATTGTTGATAATGGTCTATAGAAACATCAAAACATCATGAAGAGTTAAATTGAGTGTCAATTTTGCGGTTAGGGCAATCAATTTGGTGGAATTTGGAGGCATGGCCAATTTGATTTGGTGGAATTTGGAGTGGAATTTGGAGGCATGGCCAATTTGGGGGAAATTTAGGAAATTTTGGATTTGGAGCATAAATTAAAGGAAATTAAGGCTTCACCAAGGGAAACTGAAAGTCAAGTTTGATTTGTAGGTTTGTTCTGGAGAGTTTAGGATCCAAATTGGGGTAAATTGAGTAGGCTATGGGGTTCAATTTGGTAGAATTAAGTCATAGGGCCAAAATTGGAAGTTTGACTTAGATAAAAATTGAGCTAAAAGAATGGGCCAATTAGACTTGGGTTTGGTTTAGATTGGTCATATGAAAAGTGAATTTAAGTTTACAATTGAAATTGAAGAAAATTGGGCTCAAGTTGATGGACATTTGAGGTGAATTTAGGGAAATTGGGTCCTTAAAGGCAATTTGAGGGTTTTGGTCAAAATTGTCAAATTAGCCAAATTGGGTTCAATTGAAGGGTCCAAATTGGTTTTGGAGACATTGGAGTGATTTTGGAGTTTTTGGGAAAATTTGGGGCGCTAAGGGTATTTTTGTAATTTTAGCAATTTTGGTGGTATTTTGGAAAGTTTGGGTAGTTTTGGATAACTAGGGTATTTTCAAAAGGTTTAAAATGATTTTTGAACAAATATGGGTATTTTGGGTGAATTTCGAGTTTCAATAGTATTTAGGTAATCTGGGGGGGGGGGGGGGTATTGGGGGTAATATAAATAGGTAAATATATTTTGGTAGGGTTGGGGTACCAACTACCATATATGAGCTATGAACCAATGAAAACCCCATTTGGGTTCTCTATGTACTAGTCTTAGCTAAACCCTAGCCTAGGGTAAGTGGGTTTAGGGGATCATCTACATGAGTCCCCCAGAAAATCAAGGGATCAAAGTCAAGTAATTTTGGGTTTATAGTTGTGAGTGAATGTGAGTGAGAGTGAGTGCTTTAGCTCCAGACCAGCACCCAGGGCCAACCCTAAGGTCAAATAGTCCTATGGAAACACTCCTTAAGCTCCCCCATAATGACCCCACCTACTAAGTGCTAGAGGTTAAAACCAATATGTAGAGTTTCAAGGTGAGCAAAGAGGAGTTTAGAATTTCTAATGGTGAGGGTTCCTTTTCTAGTTTTCTAGGAATAATCAATAGTAAAATCCTATGGCTAGACCCTAGGCTACTAAAGAGGAAAAACTAAACCTCAACCATAAGTGAGGTCAACAGTAATCCATGGAGTTGAGTGCAAATAAATAGGAAAATATACTTTGATGGACTACTAATTGGTCATAATTGGAGATTTTAGGTTGACAGACTAAAATCCCCAATTTGGTTGAGTTGCTTGGAAACTAAAGTGAGATTGTTAGCCCTCAGGCGAGGGAGAAGTGGGAGTTATGGAGTGACAACAAGTATCCTCCCAACGTAACTACGGATTTAGGGACCAAGCTCTGGATTAGTCAATGTTTTTTATGCACTCTCAGAGGGTAAAGAATATGATTGCTTCTATTTGACACAATACAATTTTATTTATGATTTTAAATGATTTTAATTACTTCATAATTCATAAACTCATTGTAAAGGGGAATGTTGTTTTGGGAATGTTGTTTTCTTAAATTGTTTTCTTAAATTTGAACTCTTCATTACAAAACTCTGCTTAGTCTAGAAAGTTTACTTTTGATGTTTGGAAAATGGCTTAGTTAACTTAGATCTTTTAACTACATTTCATTTAGCATACATTAAATTTACTTTAGATTTGTTATTATTACTTAAGTTTTGTAGTTTAAATATTGTGTTTGAAATTATAACCATAAGAATTTCCAACTCCCTATGGGATCGATACTCCATTAGAGCCCTTTATTACTTAAACGATACGTATACTTGTGTCATTACTACGATTTGACAACTTAAAGATTTTAAAATATAAAACTATTTATACTGAGTTTATTTATATTATGATTAAATTGCATACTTACTATTCGTACTACTGTGTGTGTATTGTACTATTGAAAGATATTTACAACGCACCACAAAAATCGCGCACCACTAATTCATTTAGTTTCTTGAATACATAAGGTAACCATATTCCTATGAACCATAATATCAACTAATTCGATTAATTTACCTGTGAGAGTATCTATATTTCAAGATCTTATCCTAATATTAGTTTCATGGACTAAAATCCTTACATGCATCTGTCCATAATGTGGGAACCCGTGCTTATTTGACACTACAACCCAAAACAGGTGTAGCGGCCCTTGCACACTTATTACTGTATATATGCTATACAACACGTCATTTACAGGGGATGCTCTAACATTTACACAAAGATTTAAGTGATCCAAGTCCTATCTTTTTGACAAAATTTACGTTTGTCGTCGACTACATAACACAACCCTCCACTTTTCGCATGAAAGGCTTCAAACCCGACAATGACAGTGAATTAAATTTATACTCATATATGATATCCGAGGGCTGAAACATACGATGACTGATTTCACGGGCCTCAAAGGCTCATCATTTCTTTTTTAGGATAAGACTCAGTCACTTTTGTCTGTCGAGCTTATTTACCTAAGTGAGCCACTGAGCTCGCTTACAAAATTGATTTGTCAAGCTCACCTACTCAAGTAACCTACAAAACTCTGATCCTGTCTTTGACCAAAAGATAAGAACTGAGAATTGGGTAGTAGACAACCATCTCATTCTTTTATTCTTCAATACTCCTACAAAAACAAAATCTCTCCATAAACCCCAAAATTACGGGTCTTTGACCAAAAGATAAGAATGAGAATTAGTTAGTAGACTATCAACTCATTCTTTTTTTGTTCAATATTCCTTCAAATATAAAATACCTCGCAGATGGATTCATAATGACATTAAAAATATGGATTAGCCTGCGCAATTTATTATAAAAGGATTAACTTTGGCGATATTTTTTACGTGATATTATAATTTATGCCCCTTTTTGGACAGCTTATAAGCCTTCCTGTTTGGTTAGCGCTTTTAGACTGCGTTTTGAAAACAGGGTATTTTATTTCTTAATAAACGCCAGTCGCGGGATCAACCCCGCGGTCCGCGTTTTTGCTCGCGACTTTACCCAGTTGCCCTCGTCTCGTCTCCTCAGTCTCTCGCGATCGATCCTCCGCTCTCCCATAACTCCCATGGTGTCATCATCCTCCATAAACTTTTATTTCGCTAGTTTCGAGTAGGGGGGTCTCTCCCTTCCATGGCTCCACGCTTTCTTTATTTTCTTCTCATCTCCATTCCATCCTTCTCCCATGACTCTCTTCCATCCGAAGAGCTGAGCTCTTGTTATTCGATTTCTCCAGCCTTTCAAGTAGGGCGACTTTCTTTTTTTCGCATCATTCTCTGATGGATGAAGATCTAGGTCCGACTACCATTGATTGCCGGTAAGACCTTAAAACTTTACAGAGTAGAAGAACACTGACCCCCAGGTATTTGAGTTTTTTTTTTTTTGACTTTTTTGAAGAAATTAGATATAAATAGTGTTTTTATTGGCTCCATTTTGGTAGTATTCAAAGTTTTCATTGGATTCTTTGCTTGTGCTCTGCTTTGGTTCATGCTTATTGTTTTGCATTTTGATCTGCTTGTTTTAGGTTCTTGCTTGATGCGAGGCTTAGGTTTTAGATCTTCTTGCATTGCTTCTTAGCTTTACTGTCAAGTGTGTTTGATTGAAATCTGTTGTTCTTTTCTTCTTCTTATTTAAAAGAAAAAATGCTGATGGAAGGGATCAGGGAAGAAAGAAATGGTTATCTTATTTTGTGTACAATTTAAATCTAAATTTTGCCAAATATTATTTGGGTGATTTCACAGGAAAACATCTTATTTTTAATTTCATTAAGTTCATTCTCTTTAAGGGTAATAACTCGGAAGCCACTGTTTGCTGGTTATTATATACATATATATTATATTAGGAGTTGTTAACTGCTTAGAACAAGGCTTAGTTGGGTTCTTGTGGCAACTGGGCTATCTCGCAGAGTCAATGATACTCTACTAGTGCATATTATGTCACTTTATCTTTCAATTTGACCCGTTTTACTTGCCTTAGGTCAGTATTTTTCAGATTTTTTATTATGGATGAAGCACAAATTAATCAAATTCGCATTGTTGCTCTCTCCCTTTACACATATTATTAATTCAAATAGAAAATTTGTAAATAAGCTGTTTACAAAACGCACGAATCAAACAACTCAACAGCTTATCCAGAACAGGGGCAGATTGGTCATTTTTCTAGAATCAGTTGTTTTCAAAACGCACTAACCAAACAATCATACAGATTATTCGATTCTACTGCTCATCAGCAAATTCTCAGGATAAGCTGCTTATCAGCAGAAGCTGGATAAGCTGCAGTTGCCCCAAACAGACCCTTAATTATCATATAAATATATATTAATATTTGTATGTTCTCAAACAAAATTACTCTTTCGAAAAATGATATATTTTTGCTGTGTTCTGATCAGTTAACCAACGTGGCATGCGAAAAATAAGGGGCCACATGGACGAAGTCGACGCCATCAATGCTCTTCGCTTCCCCTCTTCTATTGGCCTGCTCTTGCTCTCGAGCTGCAGGGGGATAGCAAAAAGGTGGAGAGTAGAGTCAACATTGTCGAAAGATCGGAGGAGACGGGTGATAATTAGCGAAACCCGGGACAGTTTTGTTCTTCTTCTTTCTTTCAATCTCTGATTTTCGGCGAATACTAGGCGCAAGCGCTGTTAATATGGCTGTGGAAGTCAATTTTCGGTACTGTATTGGCCAGCGACGTTGGTATCCCTCTTTTTAAAGTGAGGGCTGAGGTTTGAGGGACGGAGGAGTAACTTGGCGGGTCAACTGTGTGATTGTTCTTAAAGACCCAACTTCTTCTTCTGAATTCGGTGAAGGTTTTGGGAAGAAGGACCAACGGTTGGAGTTTTGTGTGCGCTGAGATGGGAAACTGTTGGAGCACGAGGATCAAGACTGTTAGCCCTTCATGCAGCGCCTCTACCTTGGCCACAAGCTCAGGTGATCCGTTTATTCTTCTGAGATTTTTATCCCGTCAAGTATAGAGTGCTAAATCATAGTGGGTTTGTAAACCAATAAATTTATTTTAGAATTTTAGGTTTTATGTAGATTCTGTGAAATTTTGAAAACTGGCGGGTGCTCAATCCCGAGAGCAGGCCATAGAATTCGGTGCGCATAGACCTTTAATTCTGAGGGAGAAATGCCACTTTTTAATATTTTTCCGATTATGGATCTTTAATTCTGAGGGAGAAATGCCATTCTTTGTGAGTCTGTGTTTTCTAGAGTTTTTAAGTCCATCGTTGGAGTCAAAGAAGTCAAAGAAATGCAAAGGAGTGCTTGGGGAAACATTCCAAATAAGTATTTGTATCTTTATTTTACATCTTGTATTTTGGATTCAAGTTTTATAAATATGCTTTGTTTTGTTATCCCCATGCGTTTTGAGTAGTTTTCTCTCTTTCTACTTGCAATGAAGTAATCAAGTATGCAATATGAAGTAATCAAGTAAGTGCTTTGATTTTGTTTAGAAACTCTCTTATTCCTAAAAATTGTGATAATATTTTTGCCGGTTCTTCATTTACTTTACAAATAGGTCACTTGTATTGTTAAATTTTGTTGAGGAAACTTATAGACCCGATAGGGCTAAGATTTCTTGACTTGTAAGTATCGCATTTTACTTTAGAAATAGCAGTGGCGATCGTCCGAGGGGGAGTGCAAATATATAGGGAGATAAAATTTGATGAGCGTAGAATTGATGTTTCTAGAGTGAAAGACTATATTCTTTTATCAATTTGATCTAGAGATTTGAACTAAAAGTCACTGGTAGGTTCTATAGAGAGGACGCATTGAATAATCTTAGAGTTAGAGATTAGAACCTACCCAACACTACTATACATGCCGACACCAACTTAAGATTAATCAATATTCTTTACATATCGAAAGAAGTAAAAAATATTTATGCTCCTATTTGTCACAATACCACATTTAAATTTCTAAACATTTGAAGTCCTATACTGATTATGAATTATTTGCAAGGAGAAAGTCTCTTTTTATATATATTTTCTAAACCATTACATTTATTTTTACTTGCATTTATAGAAATTAGTATACTTAATTTCAGTTAGATATTTGCTGCAGTCTTAAGTAAAGTTTTCTTAAAGTTAAAATCCCTGAATTTCATTTCTTTTCGTTTACATTTCCCTGTGGGATCGATACTGAGATTTTTATAGAAAATCATATATTATTTGAAATGATACGTATACTTGCGTAGTACCCCTTGGTGAGAAGACTATTTCTTTAAATTTTATCATATTACATTTGTTCTCACTAGCCGCTAAATATAATTTGGGTCAAATTTTTGGCATATTAAGGAATATAAATATTTGCGTAATTTATAAATATTTAAGGAATATAAATATTTGCGTAATTCCCCCAAACTTAAACCTTATTTATCCTCAATTAACCTTTCTTACTATATATAAAAAGTATAACTTATGGAAATGAGTTTTACTTTAAGGTTTCTATAATTTTTGTTTTATAAATGCAATAATGAAACTTTAGAAAGATTTTTAATAACATAGGTTAAAACTAGAATGTAAAAATATTTAGTAGTCAATTCTAAGAATTCTGATTTCCTATTTATTTCAAGAATAATTATAGTTTGTCATATTAAAGATGCTTAGAGGAATTACAAGAAAAAGAATTTCATGAGAATTTTACCAGTAAGGATGCTAATACTTTATAAAGAAGCCTAGAAATGTAATTAAGTTCCTTAAGATGATTTAAGTGACTAATTTTTTATTAGATAACTCCTCAAGCTTCTCTTCACATATATTTTTTTTTGTTTTTCTTTTCTTTTTATTTTTATTTTTTTTCCTTTAGGATCATTTTAAATCATTTCTTTTTCTTTTCATGTCATGCGAGGATTACTATTTCTTGATAAAATTCAATGATTTTGAACTCCGCCATCCTTTTCTTAAAGTTAAAAACTTTACACATTTCCTTGATAAATGTGTATTAGACTTTAAAACGATTTTTCATAAAGTCTCAATTCTTTTTTTTCAAAAAAAAAATCCAAGATGTTTAACATTTCAAAAAATATAATTTTCTTTATTTTAAATAGTAAAAGCATAATCTTATACTGTTATACTAAATATCTCAAATCCATAATTAATTTATATTATTAAAAACATTTACTGAAGTTAACTATAATATTTATAAACTTAAAATATAGTTATCTCAAGCTATCCTAACATATCGTATGTTATATTAAAACATTTTTTGAAAATATATTTTATTTGGGACAAATAAGGTTCAGTTTTAAGTTTTCTTTTTTTCTCCAAACTTAAATTTTAAAATAGTTTAAAATAATTCAGTTTATAATAAGCATGAAGAAAATGCAAAATTTAAAATTTCTAAGTAGGAGAACAGTACATGTACAATAAAAATAGGTTTTGAGTAGTAGACATCTTTAAATTAAAACAGGTATATCATGAAAAGCTTGCAAATATAAAACTCTACTCTGACACATCCATTACTAAATAAATAAAGAGGAGCAAAAGTTGTAGTGATAAAACAAAATTACACCAAGCAATCCTACATAGTCATAAATCAGAAGTCCAAACATAGGAAACAATCTAAAAACAAATCTACAACATAAAGGTAAAAAAGCCTAGTCATCTTCTTCAAAATCATCATCATCTAAATCAAATGATATATCTTCATCTATAGATTTTGGGCCTATGTACGGAGTAAATTGAGGGCAAGTAGGAAACTCAACTGACTGATCTCCCTTCATGAATTTTACTAATGCCTCGTCATTATCTGCATCATAATCACTCTTTCTCCGAACATAATCTGCAATGTGATCAAATTTATTTTCCATATATTCCATATAACACTGCATCAAAAACTTATCATTCTAGTGTTCCAAATATCTCTCATTCAACACATTCTAGAAACCAGATGGAGGCTCAGTAGCAGTGGAAGTAAAAGGTCTAGAAGTAGAAGGCTTAGAAGTTGTAGTAGAAGGTGCATCTTGAGCTCTATCTCTAGGTCGTCCGTACACATCTGCATTGGTATTCCCAATGGGCTTAAGTGGCTTCAACTTCTCCTCCCAATGCTCAAATTTTACTCCAAAGTCTTTTCAAATTGTAAATATCAAAGATGGAAATCTAAGACCTGAAGTAGTGCTAGCTTCAGTAGAAGAACTAATAGTCTCAAAAATAAGAGAGTTAGCATCTATAGGTTTCATCTCTTGAATGCAATAGTTTAATATAGTTCTTTATCTTGGCACCTCACTTAAATGATTTGAAGGAAGGAGCCGAACAAAAATAAAATAATGTCAAGCTTTTGAGGTGACATTGAGCTTGGAAGAAGAAAAATTTACCTTATGATCATTTCGAATCTTCCAGACTCCACGTCCATTAGCCTGCATATGTCAACTATGCAATTATTTGATCTAACTCTGCTTCAGATGGAGTGTACTCTGAATAGAAATAGTCAGTAGTAGGTGGCAGACCATATATCGCATGGGCTCAGCAGTGAGCTCCACTCCTCTTCCCCGAAAAAAATCTCGTCATCTGCTGCTTCAGGTAAGTTCGCATAAAACTCTCGTACAATAGTAATGACGACAATGACAGTAAAATAACAGAAGCTTTCACATTGCCGAGCCACAATAACATTTTCAATAGCTCCACTGGATCTGCAAAAGCTTCGAGCTGTAATAAACTTTCTCGACGATGCAAATTTGTTGTAATGAATTTGTGCTTTTATATTGACGAATTTGGCATTGTCGAAAGTTTCCTTTCCTTTTCCCCACTTCGTCTTATGAGCCATCTAAAATTTTAAAGGAAAATTCTAACAAATTTTAAAATTAAAATAAAAAGGATTCCTAAAAGCGTTTTCAAACTAATGAAGCTTAAATCCATGGATTTTTCACCACTTAATCAAATTTTTTTGCAAATTTCGGTCTCCACACAATGTATGACAAATTCATGGTGAAATCTCAAAATAACTATGCCGAAATGTAGATCTAACCTCGAGAAGATGAAATCCAGTAGTATTAAGTCCAAAAGCTCGAAAATTTGAGACCAGTTTTCGCGAAAAGGAGGAAGACGATGAAGCTTAGGCATTGAAAATGGCGTTGGTTTGGTTTAAATCACGAAAATGTTAAGTTTCTGCCAGTTTAGATGAATCAACGCCTAGGCGCCAAGCTGTGTTGAAGTCTGGTGGTTAGGCGACAGTTCCGACGCCTAGGTGCCAAACCCGAACACAACAAGACAAAAGCCTTTAAACCAAAATTTTTAATTAATATATCATCAAACTTCATATTTATAATTTTTCTAACATCTAACATCTTCTGTCTTCCAATTGTTCAATCATGGTTTCCGATCCAAAGTTGAGTCCACCATTCTAACACAAGTTTTTCACAACACATATATTCATTAATATTCACAAAGTGACAATACAACAGACACTAAAACATTATAGAACACTAGAAATTAAGAACAGACAACAACAAAATCAACTACTAGATAAAGTAGCACACAAATCATTCATTACTAAAGTCGACACAAACATGTAACATAAACACTAGACTCCTTCCAATGATTAGCCCTTGTTGACCTCATTTTCGTCACCCTTTTCACATGCCAAATAGCTGCGATCAAATGTGTGAAATGATCAACCCTTGTTGACCTCATTCTCGTCACCCTTTTCACAAATCATTCATTACTAAAGTCGACACAAACATGAAACATAAACACTAGAATTCTTCCAATGATTAACCCTTGTTGACCTTATTCTTATCACCTTTTTCACATGCCAAATAGCTGCGATCAAATGTGTGAAAGAAAGGAGCACGAGAAAATTCCATAGCCTTTTTTTTCGTCAATCCTATTGTTCTTGCTATACATATTTACCTGATAATCTTGATAGAAGGCCATGTGATTGGATTGGAGTTTCATCTGCCACTCCAAATGCTCATATTGATGATATATTTC